TATACCCCCAATTAAAACAAATGGATTTTTTTCATTGGGGTATATATGAAAAACCTCTAACAAAGGCTGCAGATCTCTTACCTGAAGCCTTGGTCAAAACTTTCCCTTCAAACCCCGCCCAGGCTTTCTGTGGCTGTCCAATCACACACTTCCCAATGCAGCTCAACAAAGTCTTTGCAAGGCAATTGCTGCCTCTTGAGTTTAGCTGAACTAAGCTAAACAACCAGGAAGTAACAAGATCCATGCTTGAACGCCAGGTGGGTGTAACCAGATTAATTTATAAAAGTGTCAATTTCTATTGAAATCTAAAGCATTGTAAAATGAAAGAAAGAGGACACACTCAACACACACAACGCATTTCAGAAAGCTTTAGAGGTCCTGAGTGTTCCTTTAAGTTATGTTGGCATAAAATATGAAATCCACTTTAAATTCCCAGCAATTTACAATTTAATCAATAACCCTGAATGGACAGTAACACAAACACAAAACTAAAGATAACTTACTAAAGATAAAAAAAATATCCAAACCAAACTACAACGTCTCTGAAAACATAGCTGAACTAGTGAAAAACAAAAATGTTAAAATGACATGCTTTAGTTATCCTAGATGGAAACAGAGCAGGGTTAGAATGAATATAAACACATAACATGTTCTATATGCTATGTTACAGATTGGCACACATGACTAAATGCTATCATGCAGAATTTGATAGTGTCATGCCAGAAGGCTATAACCAGATTGTTCTAAATTGATTGCTTAAATCGAAGAAAATTTGAGCATTGCACATCACTCAGATTCTGCGAGAATCAGTGCTTCAAGACAGCTCATTGTTTGGTACCTCAACATTTTCTGTGAGACCATATTCAGAATGAGGATTTTCCGAAACCTGTAAAATAAAACACTAGTCAGCAAGGCTCTATACAAAACTATGCCCAGGTTAGCACTCTGGTATCTTTCTTCTCCAGTACCTGTGTCTGCCCCTCCATACTCTGCTCTGCCTCCATAGTCAAAGATTTTCACAGAAAGAAAAGATACACCTAAAACGACAAATTATAGACTATGAGTTATCAGCTTTCACTGCCTTTAACCTGCAATTAAGTGTGATAACGACAAATATTTCATGTAAACAAACGCAGGCACGTTTATTTTTAGAAATAAAGTGACAAGTGAAAAACAAAAGTTACGAACACATTATTGGATAAAATGTTTTTGGCAACTGAAATGCTTTATTGATATTGAAAAAAAAATTATGTATAAAATATGTCTGTAAGCAAAAACAAATATTGTGTTTTCCAAAGGTGTGCTTTTTGTAACGTTTAGAATGACAATCTAATTTAGCTGAAAAACTAAATCACATCAAAAATCCAAAAACGTTCTCTGCACCTAAACATCTAGTTTACTGGAAAACTCCAAGCACCATAATCATTACAGTAGGCCAAACTCATTAGCTGAGAATGATGAACTAAACTTTCAGCCAATGAGCTAGCCTTGCACAGCATGGCTTAGCTCAGGAGAGATAATACAAGCTCCTACCCTGGAGTTTCTGGCTCTTATCTCTGACTGCAAAGAGGCTGGGAACATTGAAATGCTATGGTAAGAAGTCAAACCGTTTGCTTACATTCGGGTGCAGGCACGCCTGGCATCACTACTACAGTTCAGGGGTTATGGTGTCTGGAGTGTTCCTTAAATGCTACTACACCTTGTTGGATTATATGAGAACAAGTATTTGATTAGTATCTGGCATAGTCATGCAGTACTAAAATTCACATTTCAACCCACTGTATAGTGGTGCGGAATCTGTTGGCGATTTAGAAATAATAATTCTGACCCAGCAGTGTGTTACATGGGGGGGGGGGGGAAATAAATCACTGGAGCCCAGACAAGAAGGCAGCAAAAAATAGAAATTGCCTCCTTAAATGAGCCCACTAGGCAGCATAACCAACACCCACTAGTATTTGTTGTGTGAATATACAGCAAGGCAAATTATTTGGTTTGGAGACAAACTGTTTAAGCAGTTTAACCAATGTCTGGGATTGCCCTCATCTGAACCCTTACTCATCATATTGCAAATATGAAAATGTAAAAAAAAAGTTAACTTTGGATGTTTTTTTTTTTTTGCATGGCTACTCTATAATGCTAGTGACCTCTCCGGCAAAAGGATGTTCCAGACATATTTAATCAAAACAGAGTTCTCCCATATAGCTGTGTGTGACCCACTCAGAATATACGTTACTTGCTAGATTCCAAAGCTTTGGAAAGGAAATAGACAGTAGCATTACTACTGCAAGTGCTTTCACTGAATTCAATATCAGTGCAACCCGCCATGGAGTTAACAATACATTTTGGTTGGGATAGCAACTGTGAAGTAACCTGCATGAATTAATTTAGAAATCTTGCTAAACTTCCTATACTGGCAATGCTCACATGGTTTTAAGCCTATTTACATGATATCTACTTTCTAGATTCTATTGATCTCTGCCTGTTTGTTGCTTAGTCCAAATGACTGTGGACTAGTAACCATTTATCGTCTCCCTGAAAACGGTCACAGCTGTAAATATATATCCTAGGTACGTTCCCTTTCATTTCAAATGTCGCAAAACTGTGAGTCCATTTCTATGCATGGTATTTCTCCTAATAGTTTAGACTCGTCATAAGAGAAAGCTTACCAGCGCTAGGCCAGGTTAAATAGTTAAATGGCTGCTTGAGCTACTGACTGTGAGTCGTTAGTGCATAGTTACCTGCTGCCACAACAACACCGCCCCTCCAGCTCGCACACTGCTGCCTTCTATGAACAACCAGCGCCTGTGCCGTAAAGCGAGACCGAACAACACCAGAAGGAAACACAAACACACCGAGGAGACAGAAAGCAGCCCGCCCACTGCGCCGACGTCATATCCTCGCGAGCACACGAACGCGAATCCACTAGGTCACCTGGCCATGTGAGTCTAGTTGCTAGGGAACGGTGGCATTACTTAGAGATAGAGCTTTAGCGTTCTAGTTCTGGAACTTTTAGCTACTTTTCAAGCAGGTCTCTCTGTGAGCCTTTATTTGCTGCATTGTGGATTGGCAATTCTTAGTAGTATACAGACCAGGTCTCTATGTAGAGAATTTGAGCAATGTGTTTATTCAGCCATAATTGATCTCTTTCATGTTAAGTGTACGTACGCACTACATTTTACTGTCACCTGATTTTTTTTTTAACCCCTAAGGGTTAAATTTGTATTAATTAATTTACATATTTTTAAAATTAGATATTTAGCTAGCTGGGGTGGGTTGAAGTTAGTGGGGAATTGGGACATTTGGTGTTAGGCTAGCTAGGGGTTAAAGGGACACTATAGTCACCCGAACAACTTTAGCTTAATGAAGCAGTTTTGGTGTATAGAACATGCCCCTGCAGCCTCCCTGCTCAATCCTTTGCCATTTAGGAATTAAATCCCTTTGTTTATGAACCCTAGTCACACCTCTCTGCATGTGACTTGCACAGCCTTCCATAAACACTTCCTGTAAAGAGAGCCCTATTTAGGCTTTCTTTATTGCTAGTTCTGTTTAATTAAGATTTTCTTATCTCCTGCTATGTTAATAGCTTGCTAGACCCTGCAAGAGCCTCCTGTATGTGATTAAAGTTCAATTTAGAGATTGAGATACAATTATTTAAGGTAAATTACATCTGCTTGAAAGTGAAAACAGTTTTTTTTTTCATGCAGGCTCTGTCAATACTACCCTTCTCATCCTCTGTAACAAAATTGTTAACTCAACGGGGAGCTGATACAGGATGCGAATTAACCCCATCATGATATCCCATTTGCAAACGTAGATAACCCAGTGTATACAAAATGGGGTATGTCCAGTCTTTTCTGTCCAAACTTAGTGTTCTTTTTTTTTTTTTTTTGCATTTTTTACACAAAACGTGCACTTTCAATGATGATATCACAGTCATTATATTTTTACTATTCTAAAACACTCATTTTTATGTTCAGCGATGTCTCACGAGTACAACAGTACCCCTCATGTACAGGTTTTATGGGGGTTTGGAAAGCTACAGTGTCAAACATAGGGCTTGTCCATTTCACTGTTTATACCTGAAAATTTGACAAACTTATTTTTGCCCCTATGTTGCCTTTGAAACAGTATGGGAGCCTGGGTAATAACTTTTCCACCGTTATGGGATACCATTTTCAAAAGTAGGCAACCCAGAGTATTCCAAATGGCGACAAATGTAGGCCGAATTTACTGGTTATACTTTTATTTGCGTTTTTCACACACATAAATGTACTAGGTACGTCCTACAAAAAATGGTCATTAAGGGCCGCGGACTTACCTAGCACGTCCACGGCAAATAGGAGCCCTGGACTTACCTGGACCGGCGATCCACGGCGATCATGGTCGGGGGGACTGCCGGAGACCCCAGCAGTCCCCCTGCAGCAGCTCTGTCCACCCCTACCTATGATCACATCGCCGCAATAAGACTCTAGGAGCTGCCAGCAGGGGGACTGTCTAAGTTGTCAGGCAGTCCCCCAGGCTGCTTAAAAGTAAAAAAATACAATAAATATATTATACATATACATGTGGTCCTCATTTAGCGACCTACCTGTTTTATGACGGCTCGCACTTACGACCAGGTGTAAGTGCGAGCCGCCGTGGGGATTTTCTGCTCTGGTGCACATGTCTATGTTCGGAGAGGATTCCCCGAAAATAGACGAATGCACCAGAGCAGGGAATCCCATAACTGCTCACTTACCGACCAGATTCGTTCTACGACCGGGTCGTAGGAACGGAACCAGTCGGTAAGTGAGGAGTGTCTGTATTAAATACGTATAATATATTATAAAATAATTAAAGCATTTTCATAATATATTATACATATATAATGCATATATATGATTGAGATATATACACATATATCTCAAAATACCCTTATAATGAAATCATATATATGCATTATATATGTATAATATATTATAAAATGCTTTAATTATAATATATTATACATATATAGGAAATAAGTGTGTGTGTGTATATATGTGTGTGTGTGTGTGTATATATATATATATATATACACACACACACACACACACACACACACACACACACACACACACACACACATATTATATGTATATGAGTGTGTGTGCATATATATTTATATATATATATATATATATATATATATATACATAAATACACACGTACTATATGTGTGTGTGTGTGTGTGTATGTATGTATGCACACACGTATTATATATAAATAAATAAAAAAACACTGTAACGGCACCTCGGGCATAAACGGGGTTAAACACCGTTTAGAGGATATTCCCCTTCCAGATACACAGGCAGCTACCAAAGACACCAATCTGCCAAACAGGAAACCATATGAATGCCGTAAACAGTCGTACCGGAACCATACGAATGCTGTAAACAGCTGAATAGGAAAAACCATACGAATAGGTTTACACTCCTAGCAGTCAAACTGGAACAGCGTTCAATAAATCCCCCCCAAGAACGAGACAAGGCTCTGTTTTGAGGGTCAAGCAGGAACAGACATAGCTGTGGGTTTATTGTTCTTATATACACATTCTGACACATTAGTACCACCCACAGGGTTTTGTAAAACAACCAATAAACACATACAATACACTCAGACACTCCCACACAAAATCCTCCCCTCTGCCTGTGATACAATTACCTTACACAATGGGTTAATGTAATTATCACAGGCAGAGTTTCCCCACATTATTCATAACTTTAAAAGTATACATCACATTCACATACATTTTCAGAATCAGCATACTCCAAATGCAAACATATGTCAAAATCATCCAAACTGGTTCAAAAGATAGATCGAAGTCCTTTGTGACCAAATGAAGCAAAATGAAGCATGGCTTTTCTGCCCAAAACCAGTTCCACAGAGTCTTCTGTCCTGGAGATAATTGGGAAGTAATCCAATTATCTCCAAGGACAGAGGCAAAACTCCATTGAACAAATGGTAGCAAAAGACAATAAAATACATAAAAATATATAACTGTGCAGCTACTGCATAAAACAGGTACATTCAACATATCCCCAGATAGCTTAGATCTGAGCGCACATTATTACTGAATGGCACTCAGATCACATACATACAGTTCAATTGCCATCGAGCCAAAGTCTTTCACATAGTCTTTCGTTATACGAATGGGCTCCATGGCATAGCTATCTGGGGTATCACTGTTCAAATAGGGCAAGTACCGAATGACCGGGTTTTCGTGTCTTTGCAGGGGAAAATCAAGCGTTTCAACATGGGGTCATAGTCTAAAGGCAGCAGACGGGCAACCAGGCTCCTCCAATGCACAGTGGCGAGACTGGTCTCGGCACTGGAGTTTCCTTTTAACTGTAAAAAAAATTAAAACCAGTCTGGTCACTAAGGGGTTAAAGTGTCAATTTTTAATTGGTGTCTACATCGTAGTAGTTTGTTGATTATGTACTGTTTTTACTTCAATAAATACAAACTTAACATATATTTTTATTGAAACCACCATGAAGGGGGAAATAAAATAAAGTAAGCTTTAAATTAATAAAGTAAATGTGTCCAAAGACAAGGATATATAAGCACGCCTCAAAAGTGTAGCTAAAAGTCAGGTATGGTACCTATATTCCTAAAGTAGCTCTCTTTGTAGTAATCACTAGGATAAGTGAAAATCTATTTTTTTTTTTAGTTTCGACTACTGAATAAGACCATTACTAAAAATTCCCCACTAGATGGCGATATTATATCAGTATACAGATTTATTGCCTACAATAAATTTGTGGGAGAAAACATTATAATGTATCCTGGTACATTTTACTAGAAAAAGTAGATAGAATGTAGCTTATTATTAGCATTTAATCCATCTATACCCTCAACTAAAGAATAGAGAAATGACAGAACAGTTATCTCTGCTTATTTAGAGCCTGCCGATACCAAATAAGGATAACTAGTTCTAGATAGAAGGAACTTGTCAATGGAAGGCAATTCGACAACTTCTTAGAAGTCTACATATACCTGTCAGCCCTCACACCAATAAAGGGTGCACTTTACCTATATGCTCCTAAGGAAGCCTGTGTTCAACATAAACTAATTGGATACGGGTAATTAGCATAGATAGTAGCTCGCTTATACCTCACAGCCTCACAGTCATATATGAACCAACACTCACACCCAATTAGGGCAAATGCAGGCAGCCTTACAACCTAAAATAAACAGCCAGTGAATTTCATAATAGATATAAATAAAATTAATAAAGGAGCGAGGGAGCTGAGTAGAGAGAGTTTAGGGTAAAGTGCTCCCTCGCCGCCCGCCCGTGAAGCAACTGCCCGCCTGTCCCGGGGGAGCCCAAAGGTGGCCAGCAGGACAGCTCCTGGGCTCCCATAAAACGAGGCAAACAAGGTATTGGCCTGGGCATTTGGGGGCGGTGTTTTTTTGCCGCCCCCTGGAAATTGCCGCCCAAGGCAAATGTCTTGTTTGCCTTGCGGTACACACATCCCTGGCTACAGCAGAAGAGGTTTCTGCTCTGCTCAAGTCCTCCCGCCCCACCACCTGTTCCCTCGATCCTATTCCTTCTTATCTCATCCGCACTTTGTCTCCCTCTCTTGCTCTTCCTCTCACTAAAATTTTCAATCTCTCCCTTTCCTCTGGCACATTTCCCTCACCCTTCAAACATGCAACTGTAACCCCAATTCTGAAAAAGCCCAGCCGTGACCCCAACACCCCATCCAATTAGCGCCCTATCTCACTACTGCCATTGCCTCCAAGATCCTCCAGAGAGTTGTGTACATCACACTGACTGACTTTCTTGAATCAAATTCTATGCTTGACCCCCTTCAGTCTGGATTCCACGCTGGTCATTCTGTCGAAACGGCTGTGACCAAAGTATCCAACGATTTAATTGCTGCTAAATTTCGTGGCCATTACTAATTCTCCTTGATCTTTCTGCTGCTTTTGACACTGTTGATCAACAGCTTCTTTGCATTCTCCGTAATTTTGGTCTACGGATACTGCTCTCTCCTGGTGCTCCTCCTACCTCTCCCAGTGCTCTTTCAGTGTTTCTTTCTCTGACTCTGCCTCTTCCCCCCCAACCACTCTCTGTCGGCATCCCCCAAGTTTCTGCCCTAGGTCCCCTACTGTTGTCTATCTACACTGCCTCCCTTGGTAAACTCATCAGCTCCTTTGGCTTTTATTATCATTTCTTTTTTTTTTTTAAACGTTTTTATTGAAATATTATGAGCAGTACAAAGAGGTCAACAATGCAATAGAATGTTTCATAGTTACAAGTATGTCGGTTTTGTTGATAACAAGGAAAGTACAGTATAAGACCTATAGTTGTTGTATAGAGGGGTTTGTTATGTGCTGATAAGGTTTATATGACTTCTATGTCTGTATACACATTAATACAAAATGGAAAGTAAACTAAAGTAGAGTGTATGTTAGAAAGTGCAGGGTGTAGGTTGATTTTATAGCAGGTCAGCGATTAGTGCAAGGTAGTACGAAATGATACCGTATATTGGGAATATAGCAGTAATGTGTAAATGCAAACACTGGTTGGTAGTATATTTTAGGTACACAACAATTTGAGAGGTTTACATGGCTTATCAGCTTGTAAGGTTGGCACTGTTCGTGGGTGGATAAGGGTTTAGGCTGGATGACATAAGTGGTAACTGTCACCTTAACTGTGATTATGCATTATATTTGAGAGTGAAGGAGTAGGACAGTTCCTCCATAGTTCTAATGGAGTCAACCCTGGCTATCCAGGCTCTAATAGTCGGGGCTGTGGACTGTTTCCACATTGTGGGGATTAGAGCGTTAGCTGCCGTTGGGAGATGATTGAGTAGGATGCGTTGGCGTTTGTCTAGTGGTTGGGGGTATATTAGGAATAGCATGGTTTCAGGTGTTTGGGGAAGGTTGATGCCAGTTATGATGCGTATGAGATTGGCAATCTTTCTCCAGTAGTCTTGGATCATGGGGCATAGCCACCAAATATGGCCTGTGGTTCCCTCAGCTTGTTTGCATCTCCAACATGTTTTTGGTGTATTAGGGAAGAACCTGTTAATGCGGGTTGGTGTATAGTGCCACCTGGCTACTCGTTTATAGTTGTTTCATGGGTGCTATTTCTCCTGGATGTATGAAAGATGTTTTTGAAGATTCTGTGCCAATCTTTAGTCTGTATTTGGGTTGACAGTTCTTTGTCCCATTGTGGGGTGTAATTTGGCAGAATCTCATCCTGACGTTGGCGAATTGTTTTATAGAAGGATGAGATTAGACCTCTGCGTAATGTGTGTTGCGAACATTGTGTTTCAAATAGCGTGAGGTTCCTATGTCCCTGGAGGAGTATTGGGTCTGAGTGTACGAATTGTTTGATTTGTGAATGTCTGAGTCTGAGCATGCCAGAGGATTCGGTGTTGGGTACCAGGTCCACCAATGGGATGATCCCTTTTGTCGTTAAGGACGTCACCTATGGTGAGTGTGTGGGTCTGTTTGGGGAAACTTTGAAGAGCGACTGTGTTAGTGCCAGGCCGGAAGGCTGGGTTGTCAGTTAGTAGGTAGAGCGGTGAGGGGTGTGGTGCTATATATATATCCTGATTTTGTGCCAGGTCTGTAGGGTATGAGGAATCATCGGGTGTAGCTCTGAGTTGTGTGTTGTTATGTTGGGTCACCTTCCTAGCCAGGGAGCAACGTGTAGTGGTGTTGTTAAAAAGTTGGCTTCAATCCTTACCCATTGGGTGTTGTTACGGGGGTGTGCCCATTCATATATTCTTGCGAGGATAATGGCTTTGTGATACGCCTCCAGGTCGAGGAGAACCAGGCCTCCTCTCTGTTTACTTTTGATTAGGCAGTCGTATTGGAGCCTGGGGGGTTTCCCGCCCATATGAATGCAGTAAATGTCCGTTTGGCTTGCGTGAAGTAGGAGAAAGGGACTTTGATGGGGAGTGTTTGCAACAGGTATAGGAGTTTGGGGAGTACATTCATTTTTAGGGTGTGGAATCTGCAGAGCCATCCAAATTGTGGTCTGTCCAAGCCTTGAAGTCAGCTACTATCTTAGCCAGGAGGGGAGGGAAGTTGATGTCATTGGTACAGTCTAGAGAGGTGG